TTCAGAGGAGAATGGCCAGACTGCTTTGAGCTGATAGGAAGGCAACCTAACTCAAATGACCACTTGATACAACGAAGGTACAGAGAAGGACAAATCTAATGCAACTCCTCTCTACTAAGAACAGGAAACTGAGTCTCAATTTCTGCTGCAACATTGAATCAGCCTTGAATCAGTGGTCCAGATCGGTCCCCTAGTACCAACTGAGCATCATTTAAACACCAAAATCTGGACCAAAAGCTCTGACGGATGTTTCCAGCACCGTGTTGAAACTGTGCCACAAAGAATTAAAGCAGCTCTGAAGGCTAAAGGGGATCCAGCCCATTAGGTAAGCAGTACCTAATGATGTGTGGTGAGTGTGTATAAGTCAATGTTTTGCAACATGGTGCAATTCAAAATCTTACAAACAGCAATTTTCATTCTATTTTTTGGTGAATAAGTCCCACCCAAGTGTGATTTTTAATACTTTTAATGAGAAAACTTGCATAATACAGTACATCAATATATCATTTTACATATCCAGTATCAAGTTTGTTTACAATATTGACCAAACCTCAGAATGCATAACTATTAACCTGGACAGAGTGAGGCCAGCAATGAGTAAACACACACTTTATCCACAAGCACGCACACGGTCACACAAGGACACAGATGCACACACACACAAGCACACATAAAAATTAAGTTCTTTGCACAGCTGGCCAGCAAAAGGATCTGTGCTTCCCACATTTGCGCGCCATCATGAATCTGCTCAGGGAGTACAACGGGGAGTTTAGCGCTCCTTTCGAAACAAGGCCAAGAATGGACCAAAAGAGGTCTGACTTGCGCCACAGGGAAAGAAGTGCCATAACACCCCTGTGCAGATCAAAGATGTCATACGAAGTGTATTGAAGTGAAGACGTTTGGTGGGGGTGGAGGGGTGTTGAAGCCGTGTGCGTCTGTCTGAAACCAGAGGGGGGGACCGCTTATGGGGAAACGTATGGCATTTCGCCAGTGGAGGCCAACAGAGGAGATCAAGAGAATGAGCCAGTAGAGAGTTAGTGTGTGGGGCAAGCAAAATCTGATAAGAACCAAAACAAATCGAGGTAAAGACTGGGTGAAAGAGCAGGAGAAATGAGGAGTTGCATAAAAAAAAGAAAAGCTGCAGAAGACAGAAGACTGTTCAAATAATGAGAAAACACTCTCTCTTTAATGTTCTTACAGCAAATCACAGTACGCCTTAAAAATCTTCAATTCATAATCTTTAAAGAAGGAGTCATCAAATCAGAACAACAACTCTGGTTATTGTGTTTTTTAGAAATCGGTACTTAATGAGTGCACCTCGTGGCAGAGTTGCGCCATGTTTGGACACCAGGGACTCACAGGAATGGACCAATGCTTGTTGTTTCTGATTTTATCTCAGTGAGAACAGCCTCACTGCTGGCTGTTTACTCTTCGCTTCCTGCTGGCGCTCTTTCACTTTAAAAGCACTGCCATGGCAAAAAAGCAGGGAAATCTTTACTATTAATTAGTCACATAAACCCAAAACACGTGGATGTCCCAAAGTCCTTTTTTTGTTGTTGCTGTTTTTGATTTTGAGCTTTGCTGGTAAATGCTGAATGCTGCGCCTGGTCGCACTGGTGGAATTTATGTCCGATTTTATAAGTGTGAAAACAATCACCGTGAGATAATGCTGCCAAAAAAAGCCAAAGGAAAGTCATTAAATATAACCATTAAAGGTAATTAAATGCTCGACATCTGAATCTTTAATTTGAAAAAAGGTCTACCCAACAACAACATTTCAGGTTTCACCTGCTGAAAAATGGGACTCAGTTCTAAAGATTAAGGACTCTGAACCCTCACAAACCCACAGCACCTCTTCAGCAGGGCCCAAAAAAGGCATTCAAGGTAAAGAAGGAGTGGAGATAAAACAGGAGGAGAAATTCAATGAAGCACTTGTACTATACCAGATAAAGATTCCCTCAGCGATGTCTGCAACAGTGTACATGTCTTTCTGCTGCCAAAGTAACTCTGCAATACTTCAGCTCTATCTACTCAAGCTCCTCCCCTTCCCAGCCCCCCCAGCGTTGTGTGCAAGCTCTCAGAAAAGCCATCTTCTCCTCAGCCTGAAACTCTGGACTGAGCTGGATGGTGCATCTGAAATCTAAAAGGCAGTAAAAATGATTCCTGGCCAACATGTCAGTCTGTGTCTCTCCCTTGTAGGTCCTGCCTACTCTTTGATAGAAGTGAATGCTGCCAGGTTGGCAAGAAAAGCAGCATTTTTTCCCCTCGCTGAAAAGCTTTGCGTGAATGCATCAATGCAAAAACCTCTCACCAAGAACAACCCTGTGTCTCTAAACTGTCAACTTTTCAGGAAGTAAAAAAAGAAGAAAAACAAAACAAAACACAAAAACGCGGGCTTGTTTTTTAGAAATCTATAGAGCCCAACTGAGAGAGAGAAAGAGAGGAAAAGTAAGACGTGCATGTAGCAGGAGGTTCACAGACAACTGAGAACGAAGAATATGCTTCTGGAGGTACAAATCGTAAAATCGAGCTCTGAAACTGTGAGTGGTTTTATTTATAGGCTAGAGAAAGGACATCCCCACTCCAGAAAATTGTCAGGAAATAAAGATTATCCCCCAAAAAACACATTGGTAAATTATTCTTTACGTATCCTTCGTGACCCTGAATCTTTTTCTATTCTCAGTCTTACTAATACCTGAAGCCTCACAAATAATTTCTAAACCTCCCTCAGGTGGCTGTGACAAGGAGGTAGAGCAGATCATCTACTAATGGGAAAGCTGTTGGTTCGATTCCTCGGGCAAAATACTGAACCTCAAGTTGCTCCTGATGTATTCATCAGAATGTAAATATGTCGGCTACAAAGCGCTTAGATGTACAAAAAAGAGGTTGTGTGAATACAAGTAGAGCAGAAAAGTGCTATATAAGAATCAGTCCATTCAAATGAATGTGACTGCCATGTTATCTGACTATTAATACAGATAGCAGCCTAATGTCTCCAAACACATATTTGTGTTAAGATGTAGACTCTTTCCAAGGTAGAAGATATTTGATACTGGAAGCTTTCTGGCCTTCATTTGTAGTTTGCTTGTCCAGAGTTTAATGATTAACCACATGTGAGCAGGCTTCAGCTGCTCACGGGCGCAATCTGTGTTAAGATATCATCAGCCAATATTAGCTAATTGACAATCGAACGATATCGACATTTATAACGGCTGATACATTTTAAAAAAGAAATGGAAGAACCATCATTAGCCATCACTGACGTTGCATAGTTTGCCCACCAGAGGGCCTTCTGCAACATCCCTTTTGGCAATCCGGTCGTTAAGTGATGACGTGACGAATCCTACTTCCGGGCCTAAAGTAGTCTGCGTTTAATATGGCTTTTGTGTTGTTAACATGTTTAATATTATGTATTTTCTTCTATTTGATCTCAAAAAGCTCCTAAAACAGTCAGTGATCACTGTTGACCTCACTCGGCTTTTATTACCGCTAATGATTTATTTAAGCTCAGTTTTTAAAACCTTAGGATGTAACTACAGCCCAGCCCATGCAGCAGTATATGAATGACTAACCTCATATTGTGGATGGATTATCTCAGTTGTTCTCCTGGCTGAAGTTTGGTCCTTTTACAGCATCCTGCCATGCGATTACATTTGTTCCTGACCACCGAGAACACTCACGTTAACTTTTATCGAGTGGAAAAAAAAGCTAGCTTGTTTATATTATGCTAACATAGCTGTGTCGCTAGCGGTCACGTAGCACATCATTATATACCAGCTAACCAAACTTCAGTAACCCTACAAACATCACTGCTGTTTAGTTTTCTGTCTTCATTTATGTTGGAAGTGATAACAGAGCTGTACGTTTTAATTTGTTTCCAAAACCCCGAAGTCAGGACATGCTATATTGTATTTAGATAGAAACTAGCGAGCTAACTCCCTGCTAACTTCTAACTCTGTTAAATGTCATAAATTCCGTTTTCATGGATGTCTGGATGTTAAACTCAATTGTTACACCTGGTAGAGCAGAACGCTGATCGTTTTATTAAAGATGAAAGACTTTAGACAGTTTTTCAACTCTCAGTAATGCCATAGTGATCATTTGATATATGGACCTGCAGCGGAGTTTAGGCCCAGACACGGCTAGTGACGTCAGACTTAACGACCAGATAGGTTTTCAGAACGCTACAAACAACAACCAGCGGATCTGAGCAGACTTCGGGCAGAGCGTAAATGAATAACTAATGCGAGTGAAACCTGTTCATGTCTCATGTGTCTGGAAAAAAAAAAAAATCAGCCGATATATCGGATTTTTACATCACAGACATTAGTATCGGTGTTGATCCTATATATCGGTCAGGCACCCGGAGGAACATGTTTCCTAAAATGCAGTCTCATAAAAATCAGCTCATGACTAACGATAGCTTAGCTGTTTTATTAGCTTTAAATTGCATCCACTCCTGTAAACATGAAGTCTTGAGCTACAAAGTTGTGAAATTATGGAAAATGTCCCTCAGTGGTGAAGACACTGTAAGTGCACTATTCTGTCATTTTAGCTCTGTTCCACCACGATCACTCGCTGCTCCCGGGGATGGGCAGGATGCATATATTGTATTTATTTCCTCTGAAAACAGCTGCCTGCAGCTGGAAACAGTCTTGAGAGCAGTCACTGAACCAAAACAGAGCTAAACCGAAAGGTGCTAAAATACTCCCGACTGCTGAGCCGGACGATATGTGTGCACTTCACACGTACAACATATTAATTCCATCTTTTCTTTAGATAGAAAATACCAACGAGAGCTTCAAGTCATAGTTTTGCTTATTTTAGACTGAATTGCAATCAGGATAACAGACTTTAAGGTATATACTGACTGATCTAAGATGTTTAGCTTATTTTCTAAGAGCAGAAAAACATATTTGAACAAAATACTTTAATATTTCTAGTAAGCTATCCAAAGTCGTACTGACATCAAACAGGCATGTCAAACAGTTGGCACAAATCACACACATTCACACTCATTTCTTAACCTACAGACATGCACGACATTCTCATTGCAGGCCGCACTGCTACCACACTTCTCCGGTCATTAAGTCCTTTAAACTCAAAGGGAAATACCACTCAGTTTTAGCTGAAAGCAATCCAAATTCATTGCTTTTTCCCTTTAGATACGAGGCAGAATGGTTCATCTCTAGGACGCCACACAGCGCGCACACCAAGCTGGAAAAACGATGACACGGTCCAGAATGTTTTATTTTCTCGGGGTTCAGGGGACATTTTCCAGCGTGGAATCCATCACGCTGTCACAGCGAGGAAACTCATAGAACAAAAAAAGAAAAAAAACGCCTTCAAAGAGAGTCTCCCTTTTTTCTTCGATGACAGATTACAGTCTTCATCTTTTGGGAAGAGCCGCTCATAAATTATGATCTTTTGTATTTTTCAGTGATTAGGCTTAAAAACAGGAAATGTAAGTACTTCATTAGAGTGATATTCCCCTTCTAGTGACCCCCCCACTCCCCCCCAAAGAAAACGGGTGCAACAGTAAGTATGCTTTCTAATACAGTACATGTCTTTGCTGTCCATCAGTTTGGGTTAGAGCTGCCAACCGCTGGACAAAGGCATCGTCTCAGTTTTTACATCTATGCGTCTTGTTTGGACTCAGGAATGCGAGAGAGGGCAAGAGAGTCCATGGGAAGTCGTGTTTTATACTTAGAAAACTTTTTTCTTCTTCTTTTTTTAAACTTTCGCCCCTCGATTTTGTTGTTTTTTCTTTGCAAGATAATCTCGGTCCACTTTATCTCGCTCGCTCTATTTTGAGTTTGGGTTTCATCTGCCTATACTCAGCAGATAAATTCACTTGTTTGCAGGTTTTACAGGTTGTGTGCGAGTTCCAGAGCGTGTAATATATATGCATATCTGAGCGTGTTCGACTGAGAAAGAGAGACGGAGGAGTTGAAGACTGCGGAGGAATGAGGGAGTACGGGGTCAGATCGAGGGGACAGCCTTGTTCAGCCAGCCGGCGGATGAAAAATTGATCCGGAGGGAAATCTTTTTCTTGTCTCAGAGGGAGAAATAGAAGAGCTAAAGAAGTCTGTATAAGGAGGAATTAAACAAAAAAAAAGATCCTCTTTTGTTGCATTGTTTTTTCTTTTTATTCGGCGTCTAATTTAGAGTTTTTGAAATCCTGTGATTGCATTAAGCAGCTTTCCCAATCCCACCCCCATTCTTTTTGGCCAAGGCCTTCAAAGTAAGGTTCGTTTGTTCCAGATAAGTACTCTCTCTTTTTGTCTCTGCCCCCACCACCCCCACCACCCCCCGGGCATCATTAGTACTTGATCTCAAGGCCAGATTTTCACCTCTCCCTTGTTATTTTGGACTCACTCCTTATGCAGTTGATTGCTTGTTTTCTTTAGTGGATCAAAGTGCCGCCGCTACTTTTCTTTTCACATTTCATGTCCGCTTGTTTTGTGTTTTTTTCCTTTCTGCCTCCCATCCTTATTCAATCCATCCAGCGATCTTTTCTTCTCCCTTTATATCCCTCACATTCCAGCTGTGTCAAAGTGCTCTATCCTTGGATCCTTTTTGGAAACGCTCTCATGCATTCGGCTTCTCGTCTCATTTTTGTTACATTCCACGATTGTTTTTCCATCCAAACGTTGCCCTGTTTTTATTGTTTTAGTGTTCACCTCCCCGCTTTTGCCCCTCAGGGTTTCTTTGGTCGCCCGTTGCGCGGCAGGTTCTCCACTGTGTTGCTGAGGCGGTACTTGACGATGATGCTGTGCACCGTGGATTTAGGCATCCTCAGCTCCTGCCCGATGGCCCCCTCTGACTTTCCGTCCTTCCAAAGGTCCACCACACGCTGCCGCTGCACCACATCGTGCTCCTTGGTCTTCTGGCAAACGCTGGCAGCGGTTGGCCCTCCGGTGGCTCCACCAGCAGCTCCCCCGGTGGCCCCAGCAGCGGCGGCGGCTTCTGTGGGGGCAGACAAGCGGCAGACTGTAGTGGAGGCTTGGAGAGGGGAGAAGGATAATGTGACACTTAACTGGTCCCTGTAGGGATTTGCTCTTTTAGTTTGCCTCCCTCCTCTCTGTGGGGGGGGAGGTCGGAGGTCAGGGGAGAGCTACCGAAGCTGGAGTGGTGGAGGGGTGGGGGGAGCTGAGGTTCAGTGTCCTGCTCAAGGACACTTTAGCAGGATGGGTACTTGCAGACACGCGTGCTCCACTCCATCTGTTTAATGTTTACGCCTCTAAAGGATGAAGTCTGGTCTAATGTGTGGGACTCCTTCTAGCACAGATGTGTAGCGTCCTGATGGCAGAAACAGGCTCTCCAGAATGCAACTCGAGTTATTGTGCAAATGCTGACAGACTGCCACGTGTGAGACAGCACCAAACAATCCTTCGTCAGAGCATTGTTACGTTTTGTTGCGCGGTTCACAGAGTGCAGCTAAAGTAGTAGATGTGCACTTAAAGCGCCACAGCCCGAGTATTTTTGGACATGTTTTGTGTACTCAAGTGTGGGAGCTTCTCTTGGGGAAGTGCGCTGTTAATGGAGGGGGGGGGGGGTCGTAGAATCAGAGAATTGTTATTTTAACTCCGTCCATTTCTCCAGCTCACTTTTTTTCCCTCACCCCCTCCCCCTTTCGGGCTCAATCTAAAAAGGTCACGACGCAGCGCAACCCCAATCAAGACCGTAAATGTGGTCTCATTTGCTGCGTGCTTGTGCCCCGCTGCGGTGCTCGAGACTGCAGCCCCCAGGCCCACGCTCAGCTTCAGCTGCAGTCTCGCCACGAAAAGGCCCCCGGTGAGCAAAAAAAAAAAACCCCACGAAGCAACACAGCACGCGTGTGACTATTTCTGAAGCAGCCGGTGCTCGGCCCAGCCCTCTGCCAGTTCACAAGTCACAACACGAGGTTTAAACAACCAAACTCGTGCGGCTTTGGTCCCTCTCAAAATACCTTGGTAGAAAGTCCGAATGTTTTCTTGGCACGGGCCGAACCCAGACAGCCTGAGCATAATGACATTTTCAGAGATAGGCCCTGGCTCTCGAAAAAGCAATGCTTTTGACAGATGTCTCAGTCTGCAATTACAAAAAAAAAAAAATCAAGATACACCGAGCGAGAGGGACAGGAGAAGCACTTGGAGAGAGAGAAAGCTGGCTATTGCGGTTTTTAGAGCTAAAGCTATTGGGGAATATCAGGTTTTACCAGTTATCTCTGCCACATCGCCGCTATCTAAACATCTCCAAACACGAATGCACATGCAGAGCAGAGAGCGCGTCTGGAGAGCACATGCTGTTACCAAACTAATTACGAGAAAATACATCCTGGAAAAACTGCCAGCGAGCCCTGACAGACTGCAGATGAGGAGAGCTGGACAAGAAGTCAAAATAAGATAGATTTTTCTTTTTCTCTGCTTTTTTAACTCTTAAGCCCTTAACTCAATAAGTAATTAGAGCCACGGCAGGACCCAAGAAGAGAAAATAAACAGGCTCCTTGGGGCAGGTTTGATAGCGCTCCGGCTGTGCTTTATCGTTGCACAATGTGTCATTAGATCCCATAAGTGCTGAGCTGAGTATTGAGGTTTCGAGGCCGGACATGTTAAGAGATGAGAACGCCTTAATATAGCAGCGCAGCACGCTCGTGTTTGATTTGGGTAATGTCTATTTCAGGTGTCTATCTGGCAGCCACATCAGAAAGCTCTGCTGCAGATGGTTTTTTCCGATACGGACTCCTTTCTGGATTTTTAAGGTTTCACAACTAAACCTGCTTAGGGGTGAGGGGGGAGATAAAGTGACTGTTCAGAGTGCCTAAAAGGGCGCTGCTTTAGAAGCCATCAGGTAGCTCTTTCAGTCACACGACACAGCATTAAAATGAAACCCAAGACTCGAGCAATGATCCGAAATCTACGCGTAATGCAAAGACATCCTGAAATACCCGATTCCCCAGGCACGCTCATTTCAGCGAGGCCTCTGCAATATTTTTCCATTTTCTTTTGCCTAATTTTTTTCCACAACAGCATAACCATATATAGCTGGAATTCCTCAAATGACATCTTTAAAAATAGGAGCAGCACTTTGGACCGGTTTTGTCCATCAACGGCGCACGTTGCCAAGTAATCAAGTTCCGATCTCTGCGGCCAGATCTGGGCTTCTCCGTCGGGGTGTCTCGGAGGCTGGAGTTGGCGCGCACCCTTTCAAATATGAAACTATAAAAAGTGTGACCGGTGGGATTTGTCTGCTTCTGTTTTCTCACAGGTTTCTTTTGCCAGAGCAGATGGTATAAAAACAAGGAGGACATTAAACAGTGAAAATGAATGGCTCAGTCACGCTAGAGAAAAAAATATGACAGCAACCTCCTTGAGCCTAGGAAAAGTCAGCGGTTGCCCGGTGATTGGATTTTATTTTTTTCTTCACATCTGGAAACTCGTTAGAAGTAGAAGCAACTACCAACAGACTAACCTCAGGGCAACAACTTTCAATTTGAAGTCGATTGCACAGGATGCCTGGTTGGAGGCAACCTGTCTCCAAACAATTGCAGCCTGACTCAAACAGATTGGAGGTTAGCCAGCAAGACATCAACCTGAGTCAGTCTGCACTGATAAGCTCAACTCGTGTGCAATGCATCTCTTTGCAATAGGGGACTTCACTCAACGCATCTGCATAGTACTTATATTCCTATATAAAAGAAAGCCTTTCTGAGCACCTGTGATATTTTACAGTTAAACTGCTGTTCTGCAGTAACTATGTCACTATCTGTGGAGAAATGTCTGAATTTCTCTTTGGATGTCAGTAGTTAATGTGAATTTCTGAGTATGCAGACTGCAACAGATTTGCAATGTTCACTCTTTCCACCGTTAATGATCATATTATCACAAACAGGTTGAATGTAACTGTCAACTTAATCCAATTTAATCACAAACCAATGCAAACTGATTTGGTTTTCTTTCTGTTTTATTGCTGCCCGACTCACTAAAGTTTCTCTGAGGATAGCAACTGACTGCAAGTAGCAAAAGCCCAGGTCCCCATCTTTGAAGCAGCTATTTGAAAGGCAACAAGACTGAAAGCAATTACAACCATTCATTCCTCAGTGTGACTGTAGCGTAAGGACTAAACCCAGTTAGTGATGCAGTTTAGCAAAAATAAGAACGCTAAAAACTGTTGCAGCAGATTCTGAGATTTACCCACTAGTAATCAGTAGCATGGGTGAAGCACTTCCCATAATGCAACACAGTACCATCTTTTCATTATACCCTTCATGCCTGGTTAATTACTAAAGCTTTCAAGAACTCTTGAAAGCACTTTCTCTTTGCTTTCTATTTTGAAGCGAGCTGAGACTAAAAGATAGTTGTCTGTCACGCTGATCGCTGAGGCATAAAATCCTGCCACTTTATGACTGACAGACATGACAGACTGCACCCGCTGAGTCACGCTTGTCATCCATCAAAACATGTGTGTAAAGAGGTGCTAGCTTGTAATTTCCAGGATAGCAAGGAAAGGAAAAGGAACAGAAGATGGCAGCTGAAGCAGTCATTATAATATTGAGTTCTGACCACACCAGCAACATAATTCCTCTTTTGCATTGTCATGATTACAGCTGTACAGAGCTCAGCGGTAGAAAAAAATAGCTTGACAGCTGGAAAAAGCAATCTGAACCGAAGGGAACCGTCGTGGATGACACCAACACATTTTTAACATGCTAGAGCGACACTACAGGAGGCTGTCAGGCATGGAGCCTCGGTTTTAGTCCGTAGGCGAACAGACGGCCCACATCGTCTGGATCGGCCCACGATCGCAGCGTTATCATGTAGTCTGAACCTGGCATTAAATCAGCTCTCCTCAGGCCAAGAGCAGCTGGTGTATAAAAGTGCACTAAAGTTTTCAGTGAATGTTTGGCATGACTGAGTAACTAGACGCCGTAAAGTGTGTGCGCTCAATACACCTCGTTGGCACGTTTTTACTAATCTGTAGATTTTGCAAACGGTGCCTGCTCCGAGCCTGAAAACAAAAGCAGAACTTTGGCCACATCGTGAACAGAATTTAGAATTTGAAACCAAGGTGGAGTCTTGAGAAATATCAGCGTGCGACTGCTGATAACAAGAAAATTATGAGTAAGTAAGGTAAAAAACACAAAAGGAGCCACCAGAGCGAACAGATCTGTTTACAAATGACACTGGTTAACAGATTTGTTTTGAGTTCTGCTTCATGAGACGTGGAAAAAACTGCACGGTGGTTGTTTTTCTTGGCTTTTAAAAGATGACTGTCTGTGATTGTAAGGCAGCATTTGCAGTCATTCATTCAGACAATGACTCGGAGCAGCTCGGAGCAGCAGGAAGAGATTTGACTGAAAATGATAAACTGAGAGAAGCTCAACAGCAATGAGTTACCTGCGACCATCAACTCTGAGCTCATTTTAAACCTGCGCGAAGTGTGAATTTGCACAACCCCGACCACAATGATCCCTTTGACATCACCAGAGTCATTTTCTCAGACTGGATCCAGACCCAGAAATAAAAAATTTAAAAACAGCACCACGGCTTCCCACAGGTTGATGAGAGCTCCTCCCGATGAGCAGACTGAATTTTTATGTGGAAAAATCGATGGGAAATTACTAAGACAAACTGAATGTTGCGCCTGAGCCAGCAAAACCATCTCCACCGCTGTCAATTATCAGCACGTTAACGAAAAACAAAAACAAACATGACTACGGCCACTTCAGATACAGATTTAATGCACAAAATGACTCTAAAGAACCCTTAAACTGACGCTGCGGCGCTGCTTTGTCCTTAAACATCCTTAAATCACGTGCTGTGATAAGAATCAGTTCCTGAGCCAGAGGCAGAGCTGCACTGACACAGCAACAACACCTCCGCAGAGAAGCATAAATCTGAGTAAAAGTCATCAGCTTGCCAAGTGTCAGACAGATCAAACAAGCTTCTTCTTCTGTGCTATAATTACTGAAGCCCTAATGCCTCGAGATGTTCGATTATCACTCAGTAACTCACCTGTTTGTCTCTCATACGTCCACAAACTGCATTTTCTGCTGACAAAGCTTTTTTTTTTCTTTCTTACTGTCATATTAAGTACACACTTTGGTGCTTTACAGCTGCTACAGTGTCAGCGGGGCCTCAAACACTGACCTGATATGAATGATCCGGGTGGCATCTGACTGTAATTGGCCCCTCCCATGTGTAGGGCGCTCGGGGGCGCGGGTGTGAAGGGGGCTCCGTAGTTCTGAGGGGTTGCGTAGGGTCCTGGAGGTATGGGCTGTGGAGAGAGACCGTGGGAAAGACAAAAAAAAGAGGTTTTCTTTAGAAATTCTGCACGTGGTGATTTTAAGAAAATCATAAAATAAAACGAACCCCCTTTTGAGTCGCGCAAGGTGACCAAAATAAAAAGTGCAGAGTAAGCAGCTGGGGAGTTAAAAAGTGCAGGTGGGTGAGGATAATGGGCTCTATGTTTTCATTGGATGTCTTCCATCTATTATTTTTCCACTGAGGGCTGGCAAAGCTCGAGCAGGTTTCAACCTGTCAGCGTTTGTGTGTGTGTGTGTGCTGTATTCAGAGGCAGCCTGATGTGCTGACCGGGGGTGTGTGCGTCTCTGTGCCCTTGCTGGCCAGTCGGCTGAGGATGCTCCTCTCTGACATCTGCAGGCGGGCGGCGATGGGTGGGACTCTGGACAGCGTGGCCGGTAGCCGAGTCACGTCGGCCTTCATGTCGCTCAGCAGCTCCTCCAACTGGTTCAACACTGCAATGACAACAACAATAAGAAGACCACAATAAGAAGAGCCACCGACCAGGTGCTTCAGCTTCTCATTTTTATTTAGTTTGCACAAAATCTTCAATTAATATGAAGAAATGTGCTTTTTTTTGGAAGGTGGCAGTTCAGGTGTTTCACATCCGAGGCTGCTTCTGTGCTATGAAGGTCAAGACTATAAATAGTCTGCTTAAGCAGCTTTATTTCAACAAGCTGTTGCTTTTCTTTCCTCAAATGCTGAGAATAAATGTTTAAATAGCACATTGTTGATGCTGTTTTTGTAAGAGATTACAGTTCCCATCCTCCGGTATCTGCCCTCTCTGTCATCGCACCCTAACAAGTAATTAATCACCGTCCGCAGCGCTGCTGATAAAAAAAAAAAGGTTTCGCCTTCATTGCGTTCGGGTCTGTTAAGACGTACGAGACGAGAACAAGACCAGCAGTGTGCTGAGCGTGTTATTCTGTCGACAGCGCGATATAAACATGGACGGGCTTGCAAAGGAGCCAGCGAGGAAATGTTTGGAGCTATCACTTATCATTGTGTAAGCTTATCTGCCTGCCGTTTTTTTGAAGTCAGCTCCAGGCAGAGCGATACGGTCAACTCAGCAAAAAAAGATTGCACAACAGCTGCTGCGAGATACGCCGATCTTTTATCCCCCTCTGATTATCTGCCTGACAATCTTCCCTGCTTTCTCTGAATCCGTCTGCGTGCCTCTGCGCAGATCTGCTTCCCCGACGCAAACGTTTGTGTTAGATTTTGTTCGCTGAACAACACGAAGCAATTTCGTCGCAACTCTCGGTGCCTTTCATCCGATCGCTCCTGACCTTTGTGCAGGACAGCGTTGGCTGGCTTGTTTCCCGCCAGGGACTCCTTGCTGAGGTGCTGGTGTGACTCCGCCAGGCACTCCACCTCTGCAAAGCGTGCATTGAGCGCCATGGCCGGGTGGCTGGGATCCTGGGTCATGTTTAGATAAGCTGCCCGCCGCAACTGCTCCTCTATCACCAGCGCCTGCTCCAACAGCTGGAGGATGATGGATCGGGAGGAGGTCAATGGAGAAAGAGCAGAGAAAGGACTGTTTATGAATCCGAGGTCACTGAAACCACAACATGTATATGTGCTTTGCTATGATTAAAAAAAAACATGTAATTTAAAAAAAAAAGTGATTTAAGAGTTGTACTGATTGTGGTTTGCACTGTATTCTGGGCCTTCCTGCACACTCTAGGCTCCAAAATGACAGCGCGGTGATGAAGTGCACTTCAACACAGATATCAAGTTACAAAAACATTACAGAGCGCTAAAATTTGCCACTTCAGTTGGTCTGCAAAGCCTGCAGGGCTCTCTTGTTGCGTAACTTACACAATAGTTCCACTCCCAGTCTGGATATTAATAATGTACCACAGCTACAATTTAGATACCGTCACTGTATTCAGTTAAAGTCAGTAACTTCTATACTCTTGTTCCATATGTGCATTTTATTACATTTATCGTATGTTTATCTTAAATGGAGCTTTAAATAATTTAAAAAATCATATAAAAAGTTTTTAAAATCTAAAGTTTGGTTATAAAATCAACACAACAGGCCGTAAAAGTACGGCTGAAGCAGATCTAGTACCTGAGGAAAAACTGCTCGTTTAAGTTTTTGCTTGTGTATAAAAAAAATGTAAAGATCTGCTTCCATTATTTATTTATAAATCACAATCTTAATTTAATGTAAGTAATTTTGAGGGTTGGACTGTTGTTGGGTCAAACTGGCACTGTGGAGATCGCAGCTGGACCAGTTTATCAGCAGGCTGATATTATCTGCCGTTATAAAAGGCATTTATAATGGCAGATAAATGCACATTTAAAAAGGAGAGAATAGATAATGGATTGCATTTATATAGCGCTTTTCTAGGCACCCAAAGCGCTTTACAATGCCACTATTCAGTCACTCTCACATTCACACACTGGTGGAGGCAGCTACAATTGTAGCCACAGCTGCCCTGGGGCAGACTGACAGAAGCGAGGCTGCCATATCGCGCCATCAGCCGCTCTCGCCAACACCAGTAGGCAGCAGGTAAAGTGTCTTGCCCAAGGACACAACGACCGAGACTGTCCGAGCCGGGGCTCAAACCGGCAACCTTCCGATTACAAGACGAACACCCAACTCTTTGAGCTTTGAGCTAGATGATACAAAGACTACAAGTGTTGGTGTTGCATAGCTTTTCCTTTAGAGAACACTTTGCAGCTTCACTACTGGCAACCCATGTATCTGTTAAGCTGCAATCAATGAGCAACTGAGCCAAACAGAAACTGGCAGTGAATCAGTAAATAAGTAACTATACATAACAAATATTTGGGAAATCTGTTTATATTTTTCAACTCTAAAAGGAAAAAAAAAAATCAGCAGATATATATTGGAATATCAGACTTTTAACTCACCAAATATCGGTACCAATATCGGTCGGGCTCTAAGGAAGGTCCCACATGGGTAATTGAGAGGGACTTTTTTCACATTTTTAAACCAATCAACCAATTTATTAATGGAAAACTTAATCAGGGTGAACACACTGCATCCTGTCCTAATGGTGGAAATGCTGCGATTAACAATGTGCCATCAACACTCAACAAAATATGTTTCTAAACATAAAAAATACATAAAAATACATTTATTTGTAATTTAAAAGACCATGTTTTTTTTTTTAAAGGTATGATATAAATATCCTTAAACAAAAGTTATCTATAATCACACAAAGTGTGTCCAGATCAAACGAGAAAAGTCTATCAAGACTGATAATGATGAGAAAACACTGAATGAATCAGCACATTATACTTACTGGCGTAATTTGACAGTAAGCATATAACCACACACCTGATTGAAAAAATACTGCTAATAATAAGATGTGACACAAAGTCCTTATTACATTCTTAATAATGCAGCGTAATTAATAATTCAGACAGTGGTTAATTAAAAACAGTGAATTAATAAACCAGCGTCACACTTAGCCAATAAGAAAACTGACAAAACAGATGACCTTTGCTCTATTTATACTGAAACCTCCAGATCTTCTCAATTTTCTTACAAATTTCTTATGTTTTTTTTAACAATGTCTTAGTTGGCATACTAATAATAAAGGCCTCTCATGATTAATCCAGCTTCGTGAGTAAATGCACTTTATGTGTGTATGGGTATCTGTGTGTGGGTCCTGGTAAAGGGAGTTATTTGTAGTAAATGCGTTGCAAAAGCTGTCGTGTTACACAACCAATTACAACTAAGACAGCGTGATGAGAAATCGTTTTATTTTCTGCTGTCCTGTGCATTCTCGATGGCAGGTTTACCCCCCATGAAAGCCTACAACAATTTAGCGAGAAAATAAATGAGAAACGACGAGGCTGAGGCAGAAAAAGCGATGCGATGCAGTAAATGAGGATGTTGAGTGCAGGATCTGAAACATGTGCGCCGCTCAAAAACAGGATGAGAGCTCTTCCAGAAATGCAGCGGTCAGCAATACCATTCAGCTAATATGTGGGTCTAGGGGCATCTGTCATCCGACCATCAACCGAGTCAAGTGATCGAAGACACTGGACCGCAAGGCTTTTTATAGCGACTGAAACCATCCGCTGTCGTGTTCACGGCACACCACGTTCCCGCATACGTGGTATGAATTTGTATTCAACATGTGAGACCTTTGAGAGCTTGGAGGAAACTGACATTTATAAAATGTGCGAGTCTAATGTTGAACGCAAGAAGTGAAGGTTTTCGTGACACATCTTACCTTGAAGCGCCGAGCCAGGAACTTGTTCTTCATTTCCAGGAAGTTGCCTTTATTCGCCTGCGTCTTGAAAGGCTCGTTGATGATGGCGAACTGGGGATCATTCTGGATGTCCTGCCACCGAGCGTAGCCGTGACTGACGCTGAGGTCAAGGGTCATGTTAACAACACTTTGGGAATAAGACAATAGAAAGTATCTAACTAAGCACACAACATCACCCTGAAGCTCAACAAGGAGCACTTTTAGACATTTGGTGCATTGGGGAGAAGTATTAACAACATAATTTAAAAAAGATACGTTCATAGCAGGAGTTAAATCTGCACATAAATACCACTACCATGTCATCACCATGAGTGCACTAATGTAGCTTAAAACAGGGGTGTCAAACATAAGGTCTGTGGGCCAAAATAGGCCCGGCAAAGACTCCTATCCAGCCCATGGGACAGCTTTGGAAAATGTGAAGGAGGGCATTAATCTTTGTATTTATCTATTTGAATTATTTAATCATTTTAATTGTATTCTCATAGATTTTGAGATTTTCTTTTTTCTTATATCAAGACATCTCAGGGAATAAATGTTTAGTTAAATGTCTTTACAAGGACAGAAAGTGGAGTTTGTTGGTCCGGCGTGGTAAAGATCAAAGTAGTCTGTGTGTGGCCCTCAGTGTAAAATGAGTTTGACATCCCTGGCTTAAAATAAAAACTAGAAAAAGAGAAAAAAATGTAATTGCAAACATCTGTAGTTTCATCAGAGGTTATAGGATCATTTGTGCTGCTTTCTTATAGCTATCCTATGCTAACCTAATACTGAGTTGTATGAAAAGGAGAAAAGGTGGCCCCTGTAGCCTGCAACACACATGCAGTTAAGGGATTGCCTTCATTCCATCTCTAACCATGTTTTTCGGTGGCTATGGCTCAGGAGGTAGAGTGGGCTCTATGCTAACTTTAAAGTTGGTGTTTCGCATGTCAAAGCATCCTTGCAGATGATGCAGAATCCCCTGATGCCTCTATTGGAGTGTGAATGTTAAACAAGGTGCTTAACTAGATAAGCATAGTGGTATATAAGTACCTGCTAAGCACTAACTTTGCCATTTTGGAAGCTTAACGTAATTGCCTTTAAAGCCCAAATCAGATAATGATGTTTAATGGCTGCAGCTGATCGGTTTAGCTTTAAAGCATGAAGGCCAGAAACAAAGAAAAAGCAAGTCTTACTCTGTCTAGAGTTATAAAAAAAATCCACCTTTCTTTACTTTAGTTAATTTAAAGTTAATGAAGAAGAAACAGTAAATTATTTTCTTAATATCTTCAGCACCACACAGAAAAAATTGACCACTTTTGACCTTTACTGCAAGCAGCGAAACTTGATGCTTAAAAAAGAAGCAAAAGCAGAAGTGCTAAAAACTTAAGATCTCACTTAGGACTGACTCCAAAAGTGAGTCAATTCCTTTAAATTCCTATAGACGTCACGCATCGGCTGGTATCTGTCCATGTGATGCAACCACACCATTGGGATGCAGCTTACTTGGAAGCAAGCGAGCCTCATTTGATGACTTTGCACAGGAGCCTCTTGCTCAAGTACGGCCACTTCTGGCTCCAAAACCAACATGGCAACAGCCCAAATGCCACACTCGGGCTTTAAAATAGAAGTCCACAAAACAATGGCATTGCACAAAGATAAGTAGCATCTTCTAATCTTACTCTCACACAGAATGAAAACAAAGGCGAGTTTCCTTCCAAAATGGAGCTATTCTTCTAAGTGTGTTTTTTTACATTTTAATTTCACCTCTAAGCAGACTTCAGGCAGACTTCTATTTCAGTCTATACAGGCCTCAGCATCAGCTTGTAGAATAATGAAAGTTTAATGAGTTTAATGTGAATACTCCACAGCCTTAATGACCATAATAGAGAGAGCAACATGAACTAAATGACCCTCCACATCAGTGTCCAGCAGACACACAGCTTGCTGTTTACTGAGGTCTGGCCGGCTTGTTGACTTATTACGCTGGGCTTCTCCCGGCCGATAGAAAAATAAACCCGCCAGGGTCATCGCCCGGGCAACTGCCATCAAGGATACATCACAATTCCCGCCAACAGCCAGAAGTCGTGCCGGCGGTGCCAGATCTCGTTCATCTTCCCCGAAGAGATGGCAGCCCGCTCCTCGTTCTGCCAGAGAGTGTGCAGCTCTGCGGAGAGAAGCGAGCACAAGGTAAAGAACACGAGGCGGGTTTACACGGCGCGCCCAGAGCTTCTCTGAGTCCGCGATCAAGGAGGAGATAATTCTGGCTCAGTGCTGCTTTTGTACTGAAGCTCTGGAACACAAGGGGAATGTTTTGCTCGTTCATTTAATGTTGTTTGGACTGCTTGGCAACGTTTTTGGACAAACTGGATATTTTCACCCTCACACCTTTTTCACTTGATTAGCAGGGGGGGTGTTTCAAACACAAAGCCAGTATTCAGACAGAGAAAGTGAACTGAGAGTCGTAGGACAAAATGCAACAGATGTAGAGAAGTCTTATTATCTGACAATGTTTTTTAAATATCTTGTTCTAGTTTTGGGGAAGTTCATAAAAGAAGTATCATAGAAATATGAGCGGAAGCATGACGCTTGAACAAGCTTTATGGAAATTCCTATGAAATTTAGCAGAACACTTGTTCACACATGTTTCCTTGATTGTTTCTTCTGATTACCACTGAAACACTTCCAAAAAAATAAATAAAAATTTACACAGGAGAATAAAGCTGCTAATGAAGGAAATGTTGATGCATGACATCATATACAGTAGTGTGAAACAGCCTTGACCCCCCCTCATTTCTTTAGATTTTGCTAGGAAAATGGGAAATACCTGCAGCAGTTTGTTAAAACGTGCAAATCTACATGAAATACGGTGTATAAAGCAAAAACGAGAGTTTGTGCGGCTTCTTGAAGGACATTCAACACTCAAAAATTATACATTTCACTCCATCAGACCTGTTTCACTGATTTTTCAGTCCAGTTCTTGCGTAATTTGGCATGTCCCTGCTTTTTCTCGCTGCTTCTCTTTCCACCCTTCCACTGAGACCATTTCTGATAAAGTTTCAGTGAACAACAGAGCCAAGTCAACTGAAGGGCCAGATGTATCTCTGAGGTCCTGTGTCAGGGCTCTGCTGGATTTTTTCCTATTTCTTAAAGAGAATCTAATTGGTGCTAAAAAACTTTTTTTTTTATATCTGTCAAACTATGTTTATAGATTCAACTAAAGAAATGGGAACAAACTGTGTTTTTGTGACAAAGTGTGCAAAGACATACTTTAAAATTGGCTCTGTGCTACGTTTTCTGAATCACAAAATTGGTTCATCACTTGATTTAGGGGCATTTTTGTGCTCTGGGCTAATGACTTATATGTCAGTGTCAAGGAGCTTAAGGGTCAAACAAAAAAAACCATTCCTCTGAAAATGGCAAGGTAGAAGAACTGTTTTAAAAATGAGTGAAAAAGCAGCCAATGTCCAAAGATAAACTTTGAAACACCTTCAGAAAGCTCAGAAAACTATCGCGCAACACCGAGTCTATTCCAGATCTGCTGTAACTAACCAGTGAAGCCACCGTCTGCGATGTTGAACATGAAGCGAGGTCGCTCAGTCGGGGGCTTCCCGTTACCCTTCGGCGCCTCCTCCTTCGCTGCTTTGACTTCTTTTCCAGCATCCTTTTCACCCTTGACCTCCTCTGCTATCAACGACAGCAGTAAAAATGTTAATTAGTTTGTTATTGCAGCATACCGTTACACGTCTAACCACCAGGAACTGAACAGACACGCACCTTTCTTCACATCAGACACTTCGGTCTTATCCTTGGCATCTGTTGTTTCCGTTGTGGTAGGTGTTCCCTCCCGCTTTTCTTTTTCTTTCTCTTTCTCCTCCCCAACCCTTTCTCCTTCTGCAAAAACAAAGGACCTGAGTCACATAAACCTGTTTTATGTGTTTGTGCATGTCAGACTTGAACTCACAATACAACAAAAAAGTCTTATAATGTTTGGGCTTATCAAGTTTCCTTTTCTCTTTTTTTGGGTTCACCTGATTTCTCCTCTTTAACTTCTGAATCCTGCTTAGATGTGTGTTTAGTCTCGTCTTTAGTCTCCTCCTGTGCTTTCTTCTCCTCTGTAGAGGCAGCTGGGTTATCGCTCGTGTCTTTCTTCTCGTCCTCTTTCGTGTTGCTGTCGTCTTTGCTTTCAGGTTTTTGAACGGAAGACACATGTTGCGATGTTTCTTTTGTGGAGTACGAAAGCTGCCGACAATAAAACAATGCAATATCACATAATCTTGTTTGCAGTCATGTGCCAAAATCTTCACGCCAGAAGCAAAGACTGTATATAAAGACAGCCAGTTTGATGTCACCAAAGTCACGAGAGTGAATCTGAGTGGTGCAACTTCTCAATCACAAGGCAGGACAATCCTAAAACACACCCTGCTTTATTATCTTTTTCACTCTAATGCTGATCATCCTTCTAGCCATTTTCTCCCACTTATCCAATTCAGTGTCATGGCTCGGCCTATTCTAGCTGCCATAAGGCGAGAAGCGGGTCACACTATGGACAGATTACAGGTCGCCGGTCTCTTGCACGGCTAACACAGAGGAGGTTTCAAGACTATTCACAGTCACATCCAAACCTATGGAAATTTCACAGTCACCAGTAAACCGAACCCCACTACCCGTAGTTCTTTGGACTCTTGGAGGAAGCCGGATTACCCCGAGAGGGCCCACGCAGACATGAGGAGAAAATGCAAATTCCACACAGAAAAGAACCGGCCAGGCGGCCCAGGACATCGTAACAGTCAAGTAAACAAGACCCCAGTCACACAGGCCTAGAGACATGCTGGCAACAATTAAGGAGAAACGTGCTTTCCCCAAACACGGTGGTAAAAACTGTCAATGGAACTGATGGACTTGTCTGCAAACACTGGTAAACTGCTCTAAGAAACTGAGCGTGACACAAACTCGACAGGTTGAGTTCAAGTCAATTCAGTTTTATTTATTTGTCACTAAATCAGAACAACAGTTGCATCAAGGCGCTTTATTTTGTAAGGTAAGGAAGGACTCTATATTAACAGAGAGACAGCCCCAACAATCAAACAACTCACTTGCTAACAGTTGGAAGGAAAAAGTCCCTACAAGCAACCAGATTGCTGGCAATCTGCTAGCAACCAAAGCAGTCACCGGGAACCACTCCCAACCAGTCAGGGGATACGTTTCCCTAGCAACCAGAAGTTGTCACATCCCATACGGCCAACAACTGTTGAGCATATTTGTAGAACGTCCCGTGAAAAAGCCCCACATTTGCAACCAGAAGAGTCGCCCTCTGCTGGCTGTTAAACAGAACGCAAGTTAAGATGCACCATAACTGGCTTTTCCGTCCTATATCCATCTTTTATTTACAGTCTACGGTCACACAGGGAGAAATCTCTTCGATGGCCACAATAAATCTTCTAATTAGCTTAATAAATTTATACAAAAAATTGCACAATTTGTTGTGGAAACATGCTACATCAGAGAAATAATAAGATCCACCTGTTCATTTGCCACTATGGCCTTAATAGTCTTAATATTTGAGTGGTGGAATATTTTTTTGGTGTTTTTCTGTCTTTTAGGCTTTAAACTGAGTACCATACTGCACGAAACTGCTGATACCGTGAAACTGATTGCATAGATAATTTTAAGACTGCAATGCCTGCATGTAAAATATAATTTTTAATTTTCAGTGAAAGGAGGATATGTGCAACAAATAAGAGATTTGTGAAATAAGTCAGAGGTTTTACTGCCAAAACAGAAATATGCATAAATATTAAGATTAATGGAATAATTGAGAAGACACTGTACTGCAGGCAGGTTTTGATTTGCATTTTGAGGACCAAGTCCCACCTCTGTAGGGTCTGCAGTTTTGTTGCCATCCACCTCTTTCCTTTCGTCCTTCTCCTTCAGTTTCTCTTTTTCCACAAGGGCCTCAACGTCCTCCTTGTCCTCCTCCTTTTCTCCCTCCTTCCCATTCTTTTCCATCTTCTCTGCAGGAGCAGGGGTCGCTGCATTTGTTCATACACGTAAAATCATTTGCACATTACACATCAACGATGCTTTTATTTACGTGGAGCGCCCTCTGCTGGCCGCTGTTATTGGATGTTTTTGGGTTACCTGGCTTTGAGGTGCACGGTGTGTTGTTATAGCTGGCATCTGGGGTGGGCGTGGCGGTTTTCACCGCAGGAGAAGAGGCCCTGGAGGAGGATTTGTCTATGCTAACCTCAGACTTGAGCTCTGGAAGACTCCACCGACCGTTGATGTGCTCAAACTCCTGGATCTGAACACAAAACATGAAACACTCAGTAAAAAAAAAAACAAAAAAAAAACTTGGCACCCACGCACTTTACCTAATACCACCTCCTTTAAACACACCACCCACATGCCCTGTTTGCCTGGCAGTATATCACACAATCCCTCTGGCACAGATAGCAGATCAGGATGTGTACACGTTTAAACAAGTTGGACTGAAAACTGGAAAGAAGATGTTTCGATAAACTAAGATAAACTGAGAAAGTGGAAGCAGCAAAGAAATCAAAGGGTATTTAAAGATGTAATGATTGATCGTTTCACATGAAAGAGGTCTATTTCTTCTTTTCTTCAAAAACACCTATAAACAAAAAAATCTGGATGTGCTTTATCATCATTATATTTATCCAAACTTTCTTACATACGATTTGTAGTTGCAATTATTCTACGTTAGTCTTTCAGCGTATTTACATTCAGGAATTTACTCTCCGTGCAGTAGTTTTCAGCAGTTACCTGCACAGTCCAGCGTTCCCACTTTGCATTTAACTGCAAGAGATATTTTTGCACAAGATATTCACAATATTACTGTTAATTCTCCACAGCTATATGAGAGCTGAGTTCATGATATGCTTGAGTAAACTGGATATTTTCTGTTATGGCAAGAATTGCAAGGGCAAACTCTTTGCTAAGGTGTTTATTTACCCCTGATTATCATGGTTTTCATATTTTGGATAGAGAAACACATAAATCTGACAAGCATGGTCAAGTGCAAGCTGCAGAGACAGAAAGAAACTTGGATAAACAACACTAAAATTTTGTAAATGGAAAAATACTAGATGATGTTCTGGCCCCAATATAGACCAGTAAGTAGGGAAGAGATCCAGGAAGCACTTATGCACACAACAGTCTGATCTCTCTAATGCCCAATGAGAGGTACAAGATCCACATATCACACACCAGCAGACTAGTGAACACATTTTCCCCCCTATAACCGTAAAACTATTAAATAAATAACAGATACACTCAACAAATGAGCAATGCATACTGCAAAAGTGCATGTCTCTGTAGTGTTGTAGTAGTAGTGTTGTTCATATAAATCTTTACTTGCACTGGTACAAAACACACTGGAGTCTTAGTTAGCACACTTAATGTTTTTCACATTTCACAAGACCCTATTTACACAATCAGAGCGACGATAAACATCTTGAACTCTGAATCTTTATCTGAGCTATAAAAGCTACTAATGCAGTTTTAAGAAGTACTTTTTGTTTCTGCTGCTGTTCGATGTTCCAAGCATTTATTTAACTCAAAGGAAAGACTCCGACACAGAGCCAGCAGGGAGCAACAAACACAACTGCTGGGTTTCTCCTGCTTCCATTTATTATCGAACTGTTCTCTACTGACACATAATATAAACTGTCACCTAATGAATCAGCGAGAGACACAGTTTGACTTTTTTATAGGATAAAGATGGCATCTGAGCCTACACGCACACGTAGTTAGTCAGAAATAACAAAGCCAATCCTTTTAGAAACAGTGTGGTGACACTCAGATTAGGAAAAAAGCAAACTTCTCCCTTTACTTCAAACTGATTTTTAATTTTTGATCCAAATTATTTCCAGTAACAGTTCAGTAGTTATTGCATATTATAATAAGCCCCTTTTTTCTCTACTAAATTCTACACCCTTGTCAGAAATTCAAATATTGACTGTCCGAAACTCATCTTACTGCTGACAAATTTAACATTTTGCAGGGTGAAAGAGAATAAGAAGGTGCAGCTGCATACTTCCAACTCTTTAGCCATGCAACCAAATGTCAACTGTCCTGCTGTTGTGTGGAAATCTGCAGGATGTAAAGTCTGCTTTGCAGCACTGTATACCTGTTTGCCATCACAGTCACAGTTTGCCCATTTTACAGAAGTGGCTGGTGGTTATGAGGGAGTTACTAACCTGTGTGACTAGGGCTTATCAGTGAATGTCATGACAAATGAATCTCCAGCAAATACTTGCCAACCAGTTGGGGAATACACATTATCCCCTTGTGACCGGTGGCTGACAGATGGTTGCCGCCTGATCTTTAGGTTTGTGTGACGGGGCCTTTTTAAAAGAGCACGAGTTTGTTTGATTGTACTCCAAACAGACACACCAGTCGTACTTTATTAAAGTGATTCCCCCAGAGAATACTCTTGAGGATGAGAGCTGTCATAACTTGCATCATTCACCTCATCTGTCTGCAACTAGGAAAGGCAACAGGTTTTATCTAACCTTCTTCTTGAGGAGCGACATGACGCCAATACGTGTGAGAACTGGCTGTCGACACAGTCCTTCTCTTGGGACGCCATCGGCGAACGTCTCGGCTCCATCAGCGACGGGCTCGCACAAGTGGCGCATGAAGAGAGACACGTAAGCTCTGGGAAAGAAGAAGGCAGAGATAGATGAATATACTGGACTTAGAGGAAGTTTAAAAGCTTGACCTTGATAGTGTGGAGGACCAAGACCACCATAATAAAAAACAAAAGCATATTTGAATATTATATCTTAATAACATTTTGTATTTTCTCCTAGTTATTTTCACAGCACTGTTCACTTTTGTGTTTAATTCCTTTATGCAGCGTGCAATGTGTATAACCACAGTGTTTGGAAGCATACTGTCTCCTTAGGTATTTATAAATGACATTAATAAACACAATGTTCTTAGCCTCATGTTCTGCTCTTGTGACATCTAAAAAAAGCAAAGATACAAAAAATTCCGCTACAGTAGATTCTTACAAACGAAACTAAGAAAACATTTAGTTTTGATAACTTTTTCTGCTTTACTCCAGAGCATCATCTGCAAATCTGTCTATGAACAAGGAGGCATTTCTATTCAATTTACTGAGGTCTTTGGAAAATCAGATAATATAGTGACAGTGACTCCTTAATACGCAACACATTTTATAGCATTGTGGCGGAAGCGGTTGTGAGCCAACGCACCGGAGCGGCATCGGCTCATCACGCCGCCCTGCGTAAATAGCACTGGGTCCTGAGTGTGTGTTGTTGTTGGTTATGTTTGCAGCTGGCAGGGGGCGAGCTGCAGCCGAGTGCGCACGGCAACCGTGGAAATAGTGTCTGTTAATAAAGTATGCTGCAACGCATGAACGTGTGGTCGGGTCTGCTGTGGATTTATTACAAGCATCATGCCAGGATCTAACTTGTGAATGATGGTAAGGGTAGGGCTGATCCTTTCATTCAGGTTTATGTCCGGTTCTCTTTATCAGCTCATCACAGCTGTTTCACCATCTGCTGCAAAGCCAACATATTACATATGCATAATCTCTTTAAAAACACCCTTTATAACTGCAGGATGTTATAGTCGCCCCCTAACCCTGGTGCATAACTGCCATTATCAAGTTCAAAGAAAAAGCTACACAACTTTTTAGTGGGAATTCTGATGTTAACAATCAGAATTTAGACAAAATTGTACACAAAGTAAGAATATTTTTACGATTTATTTTGTGAGTCGCCCGAAGCTTCGAATCCAGTTCATTGCTCTTTTATTACTGGCAGCTTCACAATGAAACAGACTGTTTAATGGCATGATGCAATGTTGGAACAGAATGAATTGGATTATCACCCACTGAGCCGTGACATCTCTGTCACTGGATAGCGAGCGCGAAAAGTAAAAGTCAGTTTCTGATATGATTGTTCTTTGCACTGCAGAGTGTTTTAAGATGTGCATTTCGTGCATTTAACTCCTTGTGAATCTACAAAATGATGTGTAATCATTTTAAATTTGTGGGTTTTGGTCCTCCGTGTAATAAACTGTCTGTTACTTACTTGAATTCTTTCTCAGTCTTGCCTTTGAGGTCTCTTACAAGCCACTGAGAAGAGAACGCATCCTGAGATGGCATCCCCCAGCGCATTACAGCATTCAGGAAAGCTTTGCGCTGGCGTGTGTTAAAGCCCAGAACCTATTGAAAGAACAGTTTATATATGTGAACGACTATTATCCTAGATTGAAAATGCCAGAATGAAAAACTTTTTCACAATCTTGCAGACACTTTTGTGTTTTTAAAACCTCCCAGGGCCTTTTCTGTTTAAGTCTGACTCTTTGATAATGCTAAAATAAACTCTAAGTCCAATCTTTAACAGTGCAGGAGATCATTATCACGTCCACCATAATCAGGATGATGAATGAGCTTAGAAGGTTCAGAGCTATTGAAGAAGTAATTGCTTTGCCGCCATCTCCAATAAAGGATAATTCGGTTTTTAAAGATCGCTGAAAAAATAACCGTGAATGCTAGTTCGCTTTAAAAAAAAAAAAGCCTGACAGATTTCAGAAATATCACAATTTAAAATAAAACAAATGAGTAAGACTAGTTCCAGAGCTGTACAAACCTCAAGGTTGCCTCCCACCCTGGCCAGAAGAGGAGGCAGAGGTTTATCTTTGTCATTCCTCAACTGCCGACGTGATTGCCGTCGTCCTGTGCAAAAAATTAGCCAACAAAAATGACGCACGTAAGAATATTTGCTACAAAAAAGACAGATGCGCTCAATAAAACATGTTCTTTATTTATTTTTACATTTTGCAACCCAGCAGTTATTCGTGTCAACCAAGAGTTAAAAACTTCTGATAAGCCTGAAGCATTTTGGGTTGAATTTTTGGCAAGCCAACTTGTTCTGCTCTGCCAGGGAACTGTAACAACTAAATCAAATTCAAGCTGTAATTCAACACAGGCCTGAGAGCGTGTCCTACAAAATATATATTTCGACTTTCACAAGCAGCTCTGCTCGATCTGATGCCTCCGATTCTTTTCCTTACCTTCTGGCCGATCATCAAAGTCCTCGTCCTCCTCCTCAGAACCCACCGAGTACTCGGACTGGTTATCTGAAATGTCAGCATGCCACTCTGAAACAGCACACGGTGGTCTGTCAATAGGCCAGGCCCATTCACTTCCACTGTGCAAGTCATAACTCAAAAAGCACACACACATAATCTGAGACCTCATTATTTTTCTACTTCGATCCCCAGATTAACATAATAAATCTTACATCCATTCTTAGGTCCACGTGAACGAGGACCCATGTTCACATCCAGGGCTTCCTACTCCTAAGCATCATTCTGTTATGTGGAGTTTCTTCATCTTACACGAGACTCGCCCCCTACCTTGGTCTTCCTGTGCAGCATCATTGTAGTTGACAGGCTTGCGGTTCCTCTTTCCTTTACCAAGTTTGCTTGCCAGATCCTCTTGTTGCTGTTCGTAGTGATGCCGCAAAAGCTTCTCCCAATAATCTGGGTCCACGTTCTCCTCCTGTTTGATTATCTCCCGCTCAATCTCCTCGATCTGCAGCATTAAAGATGAGAACACGTGGAAAAAACTGAAGACTGTGGGACTTAAGAGTTAAAATATAATCTCTAAGAAACAACAATAAACTTAAGTTTGTTAGAAAAAAAAAGGAATGGTGGTTTGCTCACATAAGCTGATCTCAAGCTAACCCGTGGACAGATCTGATGTCTCCAAGTTTATTAGACTTGGCAAACAGAAGGCAACTCAGATAACCACACATTAAAACTGGGATTTGCAGAAGAGCATCTCTGAATGCACAACATGTTAAACCTTGAACCAAATGGGCTACAGCAGCAGAAGACCACATCACATGACTCTAGTGAGGCAACAAGTCAGTGGGGCTCGTCAACAGGACAAAATGAGACTGGAAAAATGTTTCCTGGGCTCATGAGTTTCTATTTCTCCTGTGACATTCAGGGGGTAGGCTCAGAATTTGGCATAAACAACACAAAAGCATCATTGGTTACCAACTAAGCATTCCTTACACACCAGAACCAGTATTATTATGAGTATTACTCAACCACATCCACCTATTTACGACCACAGGGGGCCACCTTCTGATGGCCGCTTCCAGCAGGATAACACACCATGTCACAAACATGACACTGATTTCACTCAACAGTCACCAAATCTCAGGATGTGAAGCTGACAAATCTGCAACTGTGAGATACCGTCATGTAAAAATGGACCAAAAATCACTGAGGAATGTTTCCAGCACCTTGTTGAATCTGAACCTGGGTTGCTCAACATGTTCTCTGGAATGAAAATGACTTGTTTTTTTCAGTGCAGTTTTATTTTCATGCACTTGCATAATTTTTGAACATGTATGTGCAAAGAAATGCTACACTTCATCTCTATTTTTCATCCATGTGAGGAGAAAACGATGTCTCCACTCCAGACCTTTGCACAAGTTGCACATTTTTGCAAGCAAAGATACAATAAATGGGTATTCAAGTAAGTCCTCACCTTATCTTCTTCTCGCACCATGTACTGGGCCACTTTGAAGGAGCTGAGGTACTCGTTCATGTTCTGGACATCCGAGTCGTCTGTATCGTCTTGGCTTCGGTCCAGCAGCCTCTCGATGGCGGTGCTGTCATAGTGAATGACGTTGCCCTCGTCCTCAACTTTATCCCCTGAACTGTTCTTCATGCCTGCCAAATGTGGAGTTAAAAAGCGAGCAATTGTTTCTATGGTTCTTCCAACACATTTTAACAAGTAAAAATGCTCTTGTCAGTTATTTTAATCAATAGCACCAGAACATGCCAGGAATGGCCTGTGGCGAAACCTGTCAGAATGAAAGGCATTAAACTGAGTGTATTTGACAAAATAATTGAATTCAGCAGAATAAGCCTATCAAAACATGCCCTATTAGAATCTATCCCAATCCAAGCCAAACCCTACTTGATTACATTTAACAGACAATCCTAGTTTTATTTGACTAACAGATCCAGCTCAGCTCGTGGACGTGTTATTTTTAGATTCAACAGTAACTGCCGTCACCTTCCCCCTCGTCCTTGAAGAGCTCCTCCGTCCCAAACTTGAGGATGTCGTCCAGCTCCTGCTTGGTCATGGAGCCTGCCTTGGATCCCAAACCCGGGCGCACCACTAGGTGGGTCAGCATCATCTTCCTCTTGGCCACCTGGGTGATACGCTCCTCCACGCTGGCTCGCGTCACGAAACGATAAATCATGACCTTGTTGGCCTGTCCGATGCGGTGAGCTCGACTGAAGGCCTGCGAAGGAAGCGATGAGGTAATTCTTTAAAGAGGCAAAGTTTTATGAAGTAGAGATCACATCGCTTACACGAAAAGCCGACCGAACGGCACCTGAATGTCATTATGAGGATTCCAGTCCGAGTCGAAGATGATGACAGTGTCCGCTGTGGCCAGGTTGATGCCTAAACCGCCGGCTCTGGTGGAGAGCAAGAAGCAAAACTGGCAAGCACCCGGAGCTGGAAACAGAGAGAGTGGAGAGCGTATGTGTGAGAGGGAAATAAACAGGAACACTTGTAGGACAGTGTGTAAAAGAATCACGCAAACATGCTTTACTAAAGTCTGCAGTAGGCAATTTATCAAAGACTGCACTGATATTATCACCTTAAAAAGGGGCTCTATTTTGAACCTTATGTGGCTGTGATAGCTGTAGCTGGAAGTGTTCATGTGTTTGGAAGCAGAAGGGGTGATGCTGTCAGAATGAGCTCATAATTGGCGCGGGTGGATGCGCTCAAAGCTGTGAGCACGGGGCCAAAACATTCGCTCTGTCCTGGAGCTCTTCAGCCTGAATGTTTAGAGCTGAGCCCCACATAGCTCTACTGTTCAATAACACCGATATAATAATCAAACAGAGCAGAACTCAACTAACTTAGCTGGACTACAGGGAGGAAAGGTGAAAATCCCCATTTTCCAAATTGTATGCGTAACACATACAAGGATACATCTTGTTTTACAGGCTACAAGTTGCTTCTTTTTACAGTGAAAAAGTCTGAGCATTTACAGAGTGCAGAAAGCTCATTCCTCCAATACAGCGATTTTATCTACGCTTAAATGCTTTGTGATCTTTGCACACACTCCGATGCACCGGGGCTGAGATCGATCCACCAACCTTCCACCTGAGCTACAGCTGCCATAAACGAATCGCTGATGCAGGACGATCTTACAGCACGTAACAGTGACTTTGATGAATCTCGGCAGCGTCGCGAGGCATTCAGAAAAAACATTCGCACCTGCCTTCACACCTGTGGGCAATTTAGCGTTACCAATTAACCTATCATGACTACCTGCATGCCTTTGGACTGTGGGAAGTGGAGAGAACCCACGCAAACATGGGGAGAACATGCAAGAAAGACCCCGGCATGATGGTGGAATTGAACACAGGACCTTCTACTGTGAGGCGACAGTGCTAACCACCGTTCATTACTGCATACATGGATCAGGTTCTGACAGTAAAACAATGTTGTCTTCTACAAATCACTCAGATCAGCTGTTACACATACGATTCATGTTTATCTGGTGGGATAGATGCAAGAATTTAAGTCCTGCACCCCTCCTGAGCGGTCAGATTTATCCCAAGCATGGCTGTCTCTACCTCCGAACCCACACGGTCCCCAGCAATTTCTATAAATATATATATATTTTTTAATCATACAGATTCTTCTTCTGCTGCCTCTCTGTGATTTAAATTGTCACTGTGTTTCCAGAGAGAAAAACATGAAGAAGACAAGGTGCCAATTTTGCTCATTGGGTGTCACAAGGCTTCTAGTCTAACACCAGGCGCTTTGTTGCTTAATTTCCCCCTTCTTCCCATCCACTCTCCACTATCCAATAAAGGTCACCCCCCACCACCACAAAAAATAAAATAAAATATCTCAACAAAAAAGGCTTTGACATCATGGGTTTCACTTTGTGTGTGTGTGGGTGTGTAAATGGTGCTTTTCTACTATATTTGACTGCTTTATACAACATACTTCATTCACTCAGTCACACCCATTGACACAAGCACTTTTCCACAGCTGCGTGCTTTGTAGAAGTGGTAGGTAACGAAGTGCAAATACTTCCTTAATGTACTTAAGTGCAATTTTCAGTTGTTTATACTTTACTTTTTTTTCCGGACTACTTTTTACTTTTACTCCCTGAATTAAAAAAAAAATTAATGTACTTTTTACTCCTTACATTTTCAAAACAGACTTGTTGCTTTTGCTTTACCGCATTTGGGAGGTATCATTTCTATGATCATCATGCTAAATCTTGCCCTCAGATTCTTCATTTTCTTAAACATTGAATCCCAAAAGTCAAATGAGGAGTTGAGCGTTACCAACAGAATGTTTTTGAAAGTGTTTTCCATATTTCTTCTTGTTACTGTGCAATCAAAGCAACATCATCATCATATGACCCTCGACCTAAATGTAGAGAATTAACCGCGCGAGGAACCATCTGAATCCTGACGACGAATAAATAAATAAGCACTTTAATGACACGCTTTGTACATTACATTTAAATTGAATTTGACTTAACGGTAGTTTTATTAATAATGTGTGAATTGCATCATTTTAAAATGCAGTATATTGCCTGCACTGTAAAAAGGTTCTGTAAAACCATTATGGCCCCATTAGTGCTGAAGGAGAAGCTACCGAGGGCACACTCCCTTTAAGAGTGCAGTGGTCCCAGCTTCCACAGGCATGCTTGTTACAGTTGGTTTCAACAAGCTAAAATAAATGTGGCAGAAACACATGACTTCACTGACTACTGCCTGTGTCAGTCTTGTACATACAGCCTATTGGTATAACTGTCTCGTATCGTTTTAAAACATTTTAAATTAGATTTTAATCAGCAAACTTTCTCGGTTAGTCTGTCGCAGCATTTTTGTTATTTCTGTCAATTTAATGAGTCTTTCTAGAGTACTGCAAGACAGCGTGACACCTACTCATCCTTAGCTGAGCTCACGGACAGCTTACCGCACTTGATCCTGTGTCTCACCGTTAAAGCGGTCGATGGCTTCTTGCCTCAGCGCTCCCGTGATGCCTCCATCAATTCGCTCGTACTTGTAACCTTCATAATCCAGAAAATCTTCAAGTAAGTCGAGCATTTTAGTCATCTGAAAACGGAGGAGACAGAGAGGTAGAGAGAGACACCGGCATGTGTTTTCATGAATACTTGATTACCCGTGCAGCCGCACAGCTGGAATCACAGCCTGCCGCTGAGCCTTCTGGAGATGTCACGAGACCAATTTAACATCTGCGCAGGGAGATACCCATCTGGTGTGTGCGTGCGTGAATGCGCGCTCGTTTGTGTCTGTGTGAAGACGTACCTGTGAGAAGACCAGCACTCGGTGTCCCTGCTCTTTCAGCTTCCTCAGCATCTTCTGCAACAGGGTCAGTTTCCCAGAGGCCTTAGTGAGGGCTGACCCTTCATAAGCACCGCTGGGTGTTTTCGGGGATTCCTACAAACACAAAGAAGATACAGTATGACACAGGAGCTCTTCCACACATTACCACAGGGTGTCCCTGTTAAGCAATTTGCTATTCATTTAAAGCAAATCTTGGAGTAAATGCTGAAATAATACAGGAAACTTAAGCAGCATTAAATCTACTCTTTCTGTGGATCAAGAATCCCCAAAGACAAAAGTGTCCTTTTCTTTCTTCTCACCATTGAGGCAACGGGGAAGAGGTAGGGATGATTGCAGCACTTCTTTAGGTCCATCATGATGTTGAGCAGCGAGACCTGATTTCCTCCGCCTTTCGAGTTTAGAGCTTCAAAGTTTTTGGTCAGAATTAGCTTGTAGTATTTCCTGCATTTAAGAAAATCCAAGAAAAACACAAAATCGTGAAATGATTAGGAGTGTGTCAACACGACGTCAACAACATTAGATGGATCTATTAAATCTTTGAATTCTCGCATTTCACTGAGTCCCACTGACACTGGTGGAGGAATTCCAGGAGCCAGCTGTTCAGTTTTAAGATGCACAGCTGGTTCATTTTTCGCTTTAATGTGGTTGATTGGTGCAGATGTGAACAAAGTAATCGCACATGAGTGAGGACCGAAATAACAACAACAAGGCCATTGGATGAGCGAGCAACTGGTTTATGGTGAAAACGTGATCCAATCTCTAGCCGATCTTGTTGCAGTCAGGTATACTGAATACAAATGTTAGGAATAACTGCTCCATGTTATTCACTAGTCCAGAACAATGTTGCTCCTGCTCTGAACACATCCGGCCAATAAGAGGACTGAATGTTCTCATGTGGTTTGTAGTGTCACATTTTGGTCTCCAAGAAAAGAAACCAAAAGAAAGGAAATCATGGGAAAAATCTAAGAGTTTACAAACTCTTCAGTAAGTATTTGTTGATAATTCTGTATTTCCAGCTTTGTGGGAACACCTCAACTCTACCGAACACCTTTGGGATGAACTAGAAAGAGTCAGCCCGTCTGATCTGACATCAGTGTCTGACCGCCCAAATGCTTTTCTGCATTAACGGACAACAATCCCACAGACAGGCTCCAACATGTACAAAAGCTTCCCAGAAGAGTGCAGAGGGGTACCAACTCCAGATTAATGCCTGGCTCCTGTTGTTTCTACAATGTTTATATAATGTGTAGATCAAGATGAAGTCTTTTTAAAACCTTTTTCTCCCCTCCAACAAACACTTACAAACAACAGAGGATGTATAGACTAACTGTCGCACTTGTACACACAAACACACCCTTTCAGTTGAATCTGACCTTGGTTTTAGGCTACGGAAGATGCTCGTCTAAGTGCTACAAACGTAGATTTGTATCTACATTTGTCAGTGTCATACTTCTGCATAGGGCTCAGCTCCACTCTGACAATCAGCTCGGTCTTGGCGGGCATGTTCTTGAAGACGTCGGCCTTCAGTCTGCGCAACATGTGAGGCCCCAGCAGGTCATGGAGCTTCTTGATCTGGTCCTCCTTGGAAATGTCAGCGAACTCTTCTAGGAAGCCCTCGAGGTTACTGCAAAGAGAGAGAGAAGAAAATCTATCATAGACAATTCTACTGCAACGAGAAATAAGAACAGATGAATTAGTAGAGCTACAAGTACTGGGCACATTACTGTTTACAGGTAATGAGATACGTGTACATAATAGTAACCCCTGTAAACCTAAGCATTAGGCTTTACACTACTCTAAAGACTCAGTTACTATCTTTTCTACTTTTGTGCTGAACAGATATCAGCTTCATTTGCTTCTATGGACGCAACGCTTACAAGCTTTTGTTTGAGGGAGCCAGACGAGGGGCAGCCAATCAGAAGAAAGTGGCCTTTCAAGAGTGTGGCCTCACTCTTTATAATTGCTAGAAAATTGTCAGTGTTTGTTCAAACACCTGACCATTTTATAATTAGTTAAATATTAATTTGCATACATGAGATTTATTTGTATTATACTTCTACACTCTCACAAACACATAAAAACGCATGTGTTAAATATGACACACTTAACAGAGAGTAGGCAAAACAGCTTTTTCCAACAGGGGATGAAGTGAGTGGGCTGCACCAAAAGCTAGAACAGATTCATTATTTTTTAATTAATGACGACTCATGCAAAGCTACTCTTGTAGGACCCCCTTTTAAAATTAGGTGTTCATGTAGTGTGAAGGTGTGTGCTTTACAAAGAAAGAAGTCCTACTTGAAGCGGTTAGGTGTGAGGAAGTTGAGCAGGTGAAACAGCTCCTCCAGGTTGTTCTGTAACGGAGTTCCTGTGAGCAGAAGCTTGTAGTCGATCTTGTAGTCGTTCAGACGCCTGAAGAACTGGAAACACAAATAAGGAAGCTCAGCGTTATTTAACTCTCAGTGGATTTTTCAAAACGCTTCCACATCATTAAAAAACAAACATATTTGACTTAATTTCACATCAGTTTTATTTCTATAGTGCAAACTCACAACAATAGTCGCCTTAAGGTGTTTTATACTGTAAGTAAATATCTTATATTGCATAGATCTTATAATTAGTTGTAATTAAGTCATTATGACATGGACCCCAACTTCCTGAAGAGGTACAGCTAATACTTAATCTATTACTCTCATGATAAAGTACATTAAACGACCTATGAAAGTAGTTAAGTACTGTGGGACTAAAGTGTTGCCATTGCATAGTTTGGCCACCAGAGAGAGGTGAAGTGCGTTAATGTGGACTCATATGCAGTAGCTGCTGTACCTTGGACTGGTTGTTCTTAAGGCGGTGAGCTTCATCCACCACCAGACAGGCCCAGTCAATAGACTTCAGCGCCGTTTGGTCGATGGTCACCAGCTCGTAGGAGGTCAGCAGCACGTGGAATTTAATAGGAGCTTCTCGCTGCAGGAGGACAAACAAGGGAGGAAGGATGAGTGGACGCCACTGTCGATATCGTGTTTTCCCGCTACTGCTAACGATCCCTCCTTACCCTCAGTTTGAAGGTCTTCTTTCCTCCCTTGACGGCCGTGTCATCAAAGGAGAACTCGTTCTCTCTGATGATGGCTCGGCTGTCCTTGTCTCCCGTGTACGTCACCACGTAGAAATCGGGGGCCCACATCTCAAACTCCCTCTCCCAGTTGATGATGGTGGAGAGTGGAGCGCTGACTAGAAATGGACCCTTAGTGTGACCCTGAAGCGAGCAGAGAGGGAAATCAGTACCGTGTTACACAGCGAGACTTTAAACAACGTTAAAGGAAAAAAGCAGAGATAAGGTCAGCACCTCTTTGAAAAGTGAATAGAGGAAGACGATGGTTTGGATGGTCTTTCCCAGCCCCATCTCGTCCGCCAGGATGGTGTCAGTGCCCTGAGCCCAGGAAAACCGAAGCCAGTTCAGGCCCTCCAGTTGGTACAGATGTAGCGTGCCGCCCGTTGACGTCACAAAGTCCGGCTGCTCCTCGTATTTTATTGTAGGCTGAGGGGAAGAAATGAGAAAACGGTGAGGAGATACGACTGGGTTAACTGGAAACTCTAAATTGTCATAGGTGTGAATGTGGGAGTGAATGGCTGTCTCTGTCTGTGTGTTAGCCCTGCGACAGACTGGCGACCTGTCCAGCGTGTACCCCGCCTCTCGCCCTAAGACAGCTGAGATAGGCTCCAGCTCCCCCGTGACCCCGATAAAGGATAAGTGGAAGCGAATGGATGGATGGAAATTCCTTTACATTTCCTGAAAACATCTGGATTACCAAGAAAAAACTAATTTCATTCATCAGTCTTTGTTTATTTTCTGTAAAGGTTTTGACTGAAAGGTCAAATTGTGTCTGTTTGTTTGTATTTTGACTTATTGTGGTTTAATGCGCACAGATTTATACATGATAAGAAAAATACTGGCGGTCGCCAATGCTACCACTCAGCCTCCTCGTCGTGTTTCCTGTGACTGCGGTATAAATTTGAAAAATCCCAGGCAATCACTGGGATTTGAACTCGTCCGAGATTTTTAGCAGATGCACTTATGGTACAGATTTTAAACTCCTATGTAACCTACTGAGTTGTCAGATTTACAAACCTCTCCACGCTGAACAATTATGAGGTTATGAATCAGAAACTGTTCAATAATCTACATTTTCAAAGAGAGTTTTGAGCAATATTACCAAGAGAGAGGCTTAGATATGCAAAATGAGAAATATTGGAAAGTGTGGTTATTCTCCCATGCTGCATCGGACAGCTTTAGTAAAACTATTAGTAAAAATAATCGAAGTCGGTTCACCAGTAGTGTGCTTTTATACAATAAAGATCCTTAAATGTGTACAATTTAACACAAAAATAAAGGGAACACATTGTAAGGGAATCCTTACAGTATAGCATATGAAAAATGTAAATCTGAATTGCAGTATGTGATTGTTCTTATAAGAAACATTTAATAACTTTATAACAAAAAAGAGTGACTGGCTAACAGCAGACAGCAGCTGCACACTTTACAATACTCACATCAGTGAGTGGTGAGCCTGGAGACTCATCTTCACCCTCATCTGAGTTCTTGTTCCTTATCTTCCTGGGTTTGTCTGGGTCCTCCTTCATTATGGCGTCCCTGTTAAACAGCAGCAGAATTATTGCCACGTCGCTGACACTAAGCTGTTCACTCTAGCAGGGATCCGATTCACCAAAGGGAGATGAGACTGCACGTATACGTAGGGCAGGTCTCTGTGAAGCGGCTGAAAAACACTAGCGGACTTGCTTTAACCTCCTAAGACCCGAACATTTTCACTGCACGAAATTTTAATTTCTCTTTGCTATTTGGGCTGATTGAGACCTGATGAATGTAAAAACAACGAATGATCTTTTTACCTGATGTAGTTTCTGAGAAAAGTTATATCCACATATGAGGACATTTGCTTTAAATTTCGATAGAACATTATAAAGTCACAATTGATGTGCAAAACTCTTTATTTGGTGTCTGAACACAGCAGCATTTTTCCTGAGTACAAAAACAAAATGAGAAACAGCAGTTGCGCCCCTATGAGCAATATGGTTGCAGGAAGACGTATCCCTGTAACAAAGTCAAAAAAGTAAAAGATTTCAGAGCATGAAACACGAAACATTTCAGGTGGCAGTGTAATGTCCTCGTAAGTGGATATCAGGCCTTTGTAGAGCAAAATTTAGTATTGTGGTCTGGACAACCCAAAATGTGATGCCCACATATGTGGACGGCAGGTTTTAGGAGGTTAATAAATGAGAAATACCGCATTAAAAACAAATACCTGTGTTTCCAGTAGCTGGCCTTGTAAATTGCAAAGTCGGGGATGTCCATGTCGTCTCTCTCCCATGTACACTGGTCGTAGGCGAGGTCTCGCCACTTGACCAAGTAGTGGTATATCCCCTTCTTATCCACACTAGCAGGGAGACACATGATCACAGTTAGTGGTCCTTCACGAACCTGACCTCTGCGTGCTTGTGTGCACGGCTCTTTACCTGTGATTGATGATCCGGTGAATCATCATCCACTCGGGCTTGATGCCATATCTGTAGTATTTGTCCTCCATGATGGCATACTGGGGGTCTTTGGCCCTCCTCTTCTCGCTCTTTCCTACTCCGTTCTCATCCTCTCCCCCCGAGCCATAGTCCAAGCTGGGAGGCTCGTCCATGTCCGTCTTCCTCTGGTAGTTTCTATACATGACCGAGTGGAAGATCTCCAGCTGATGAGACAAAGACATTAGTTGGTCAGATGATCATTTTTCAGGTGAGGACGTCCCAGATTTGTGGTTTCCAAACCTTTTTTTTTCATTGTTTAGCCTTGGAAAAACGTGACCCTCGTCATATATTTTATTCTAAATATGGAGAGCAGTTGTTTATATTTCAGCCACGGTTTGATTTCCATTGTTAGATCTTTTAAATCTGAAGCATTAGAGACTCAACACAGGAGAACAATCTAAAAAATGTAGAAAGCAGTTTTTGCTGTTTTGTTTCATAAATCTGGTGAATACAAAAATGCTGAGTAAACACTGCAAATGACATGATGAGTGCAGTTTTTAAAGTAGAAAGGAAATTTAAGGGAATAATAATCTTTAGTGATGTACGTTCATTTACAAATACCATCTATGGCTGTAAAAACAGTCGCTAAAATATGTGTAAACAGTAGGACCGCCCTGTGAATAAAGCTTCCAAGGATCAGTTTAAGATTCTCGGGGTCGAGCATTTGCTTATGCAGATAATCGCATGCGCTGCACTCGTGGTTCGCCTGATAGCGCCCATTCTGTCCCCTTTAAGACGCCTGTGCGTGAAGTAGGTCCCTTGTTGAGGGAAGAGTGTGCGAGAAGCGGCTGCAGCCACAGAGATGATTAAGCAACAGTTACACATGATATACATAGTTTCAGTGTAACAGCAATCCAAACAAGGTCCTATAAAGGGCCGTTTGTGGGTGGTCTGGTGTGGGCTTTCTCTTTCATACTTCTCCTCCAGGGTGGGCAAGCAAAAGTTATTTTTTGTGGTTATTAGCTAATGAGCCAGGCTAGAGTCAAAACACAACTGCATTCAGAACGACTTTAATTCTTCACGGCACAGATTCCACAAGGTGCTGGAAGTCCACATCGTGTCTACGTGTCTAAAGGCATAGAGTTGCTGCCATGTGTTGACTTTTTAGATATTTTTGTACTGGTATACCTGATGGCCAGTGTGTATATAAGAAATATCAGTTATTTTATAGGGAGCAATACTGTGAATTTAATTTAATTACTTTATTAACATTTTTGCTACGGCATGTTGTCAAAGGGATGTACATTAGGCTGCAGGAGCTTGATTAAAAAGACAGATGTGTGCTGTCTGGTTCATTACTCTGACACGTGTGTGGCTAAAAAAAAAAGAAGAAGAAGAAATATTTGGACCGAGGAGGGGGAATCCCTAGAAAACAGACTTGCCATTATTTGTAGTTGTGACTTTCAGACTCACCTGCAGCTCAGTGATCCAGGTGCAGTGCCAGTAGGACTGTCCGGTCAGCTTTACAAAGAACTCCCTCTCTGCCCTGCCTTTCATTGGTGGCGGTGGCGGGGCATCGGGTGGAGCGTCGGGAGCGGGTGGAACAGGAATGGGAGGTGGAGGCTCACCCCATCGCCAGTGGAGGATCTTTTGGACACGTCCCTTGATTGGCGGACACTGGAGCAAAAAATGCATTTTTAAAATCACATCAGTTTATTTAAGCGAGAAGATGGAAATCTGTGAGGTATAGATTAAAAAAAACACTGTGACAAGAGCATCAACTGACCGTGCATCGTGGACACAGCCACTCTCCGTTGGGAATCTCCGGCAACGGCGGGTTCAGACAGTGGATGTGGTAGGAAGACGTACAGGTGTCGCAGCACAACAGCTCACCTCCGTCTTTACACACCCGACAGAACTCCATGTGGTCGTCATCTTCCTCCTCCGCCCCAGTGGCGACCCTCACGCCGACCTCTGATATCACTCTGTCCTCGCTGTCCTCCTCAAAATCCTCAAAGTCTTCGTCTTTTGCTTCCCACTGGATTCCCTCTTTTTCCTGAAAGAAAGCGAGAGAAAACAAAACTGTTAAACTGAGGAACATCCTGAACACATGAAGTAAAAGGAGCTTTCAACAACCACAAGATGCTTATTGAGAATTTTGTGGTTACATATTAATGACTCACAGAAAGAAATTAAGCTGCTAATGTTGCCAGCTGTTCATTGCACTGAGAGTCCTGGCTCCCATTGACTCTTTTAGCCTTAAGTGGGAATATGATTGTGAGACATAAGATAAGCGGGAGAAGGACCTTTGCTGGAGCTGCTCAGGTGCTGTTTTAAGTAGGCCTCCGTGACTGTGAAGGATGGAGTTTGTGAAAAATAGACCACTGCTCCAAGTGAGCCTATTCTGGGTGAATAAAGGTTAAAAAAAGAAATACCTGATTTATGTAACAGCTGCAGTATGTAACCCATATTTGGGGTCTACTATCCCTGTGCAACACTGACAGTTAAAGTAAATGTCTGCTATCTCAGTCACTACAGACCCAAGCTTATATAAAACACAGCTTTGGCAACGACTGTACGATATTAAAACCGGCATTTGCCAATTTGTAAATGTAGCCTGGTGACATATAGGGAGCTCACACTCCGGAGGAAAGCAAGCAGCTTTTCGCCTTGCTGTGCAGAATAAAATGAGAATGTGAAATCGTTTATTTGCAAGAACCAGTGACTTTCAAACTGCAGAATGGTTACACGGCATTACAAATCATTGCTTTTTGAATAATGCATACATATTTACAACATGGCATTTGATTTGATTGTTGAAATGTTCACGATTAATGAAGTGGAAATTTTGACTGTGCTATAGCACCTACTCGGGGGAGTCGAAATTTTCCAAAAATAAAGGACCAGAAAAAATCCCCGACCCTTTCAAAGTGTAAGTATCTCACTAGCACGTCAACAAACACCTTGAGTGTGACAGTTATACTGCTCTGATACAGCTCTCCACTTCTTGGTATTCAGGGATGCTTGACTCAGATAAATCTGACACTTGCGCTGAATAAACAGCAGGTAAAAAGCTTCTTTTCAGCTTCCTGTTTGTCACCAGTGCATGCCCTTTCCCTCTTTTTCTCCGCTCCTCCAGTCAGTTAGCTAAATGACATTTAAGCGCAAGTATCGCTCACTTTGTTCACACTTTCGATATCAATACCAGGTCGTCCCTACAGATGAAAACACGTGACTCATAAAGAAACTAAAAAGCTAAACCAGTCGAAACAATCACATAAAATTCTACACAGTGGATTTAATGCAGCCATTTAGTGAGCAGTTTCACAGCACCTTAACTGACTAATCTCAGAGATCTGATACCAAGACTTCGCAGCATCTAGAAATTAGCACTGAGCAATATTTGTGCCATTGCTGAATAGATTACACCCACATTTGGCGACAGTTTTTTGTTGAGGCAGGATGTCTGCACGTAGCCGCTTCCCCGCTCAGATTTCTGATAAGCTTAAAGGGTTTCTACTCATCTGATCCTCCAAGAAAACAAGCTTTAACTAACAATAACAGGTGTTTTTGCTGCTCAGGTAGCCACACAGCTCGGAGATAAGTTGTGGAATAAAAACGATGCAAAGGAGACGGGAAAATAAAAAACTGGAGCAGTTGTACTTACACAATGGGGACAGCTCCACTTGCCCTCGGGGGCCTTGTCCAGCTCAGGCTCAAGGCAGACGAGGTGGTACGCTCGAGGACAGGTGTCGCACAGGATGATCTCCCCGCCCTGCTGACACACCTCACAGTAGTCCTGGTGATCAGTCTCGTAGCCATCCCCTTCCTCTTCACCTGGGAAGGGAGATAGCAAGCACAGGGCGAGTTGACGAGCACTGACAAAAGGTCACAAACCATTTCTGTGTTTTTCACCCCAAATAATTGAACTGCTCATTTTTCACTTCCAACTATAACCATGCAGTTTCATGTGTAACTTAAAACAAGTGCAGTCAAATGTGAGAGATGTGCGTGACGTTTTCAAGAACACGGGGTGAAGTTTTAGGTACGTGCTGCATGTTTGAACTTTTTCAGAACTAAAAGAAAAACTGAAAAACGCAAGTGAAACACTTGAAGCTGCTCGGATTTGCAGCCCATCTGCACGCTTGTAATGCAGAAGGTTTGCAAATGATCAAGTTTTGGCCTTCTTGGCAAAATGAAATCACGCTACCAGACGTGACAACAGTCAGATTTAGCCTATGGATGCACGTGTAATGAGTTTGGATTAAGTGCAGAGTCTCAGTTTGCATTTGGGGAGTGAAACAAAATAGTGCATTCATCACTGAGAAACTGAAGTCATTTTTGTACACAGTGCCTTCTTTCCATGGCCTCAGTGTAATTCACACACACAAAATACACTTGTCTATGAAAAAGGCATGTGTTATATTTTTAGGTTATTTCTTCACTAATTCAAAATGTAAAAGGTCTTTCTTTATTCCAATAGTTGCATTTGTAAGCTGTTGATGTGAACTCACAGCATGTGATCAGCGCAAGTGAAACAAGTTCAACTTCAAGATTAGAGTCAAACTTATATCAATTTTGGCAATTTAAGAAACTACTAAATGGGAGGTAATAATATGAGGGACTGATAAATACAATAGATGGTTGCCTAAGCAACATAAGGAGACCTGGACGTCCAGGAAAGACAACAGTTGTGGATGATCATAGGATCCTTTCTACGGTAAAGAAATGTCTGTTCACAACATCCAACTGAGAAAACATATCAGGAAGTAAGCATATCTTAACTTGAGAACAGATTTAATGAAAAACAAACAAACAATAAAACATAAGCTATCCCAGAATATGCAAAGGACCAAATTATGTCTAAAAACCCCTTTCGAGCAGCTCAGGAACAGCATTTTTGGACACACTAATCTGCCCCAGAATAACAGAAGAAAGAATTGTGAAGGCTGCTCCTTCTGCACATAATCAACATAATCTGTGAAACGCGGTAAAGGCAGTGTGACGAATGGTTACCCGCAGCTTCCAGTGACACTGGGCACTATTGTTTACTGATGATGGGACAGAAAACAGAAGCAGCCACATTAATTCTGAAGTGAACAGAGCTTATTGAAGGTTAACAAGTGGAATCATCTGGAATGGCAGAGCCAATCACCTGATCGCAACCCGATCGAGCACGCATTTCTCATCCTGAACACGCAACTGAAGACAGAGAGACACATTAACAAGTAACTAAAGACAGCTGCATGGGGATGTCCATGCACTCCAGACTACTGGAAATCAACATTTGATTTTTTTTTTTATGTTTTATGTTTATGCATCTCCAGTTTTGTGTTATAAATAGGAGACTATAAAAAGTCGAATTATTCACTTTGTGCAGTATTTTTGTTCAATCTGCACGCTGTCTCCATTTTAACCAAGCTCCAGTAATATGAATGTTTTGTTAAATAGCTGCTAAAAATATACTCCAAGAGTATACAGACTGTGACTGTATTCATCTGCAGCTGGAAGCACCTTCATCCTCTGCCTATCTCATCCCTCACACGGTTCAGTCATCGCTCCACTGCTGTTAATACTGTTTCCCAGCTCAGGTTCATCCTTTTAAATACACTTTTATCAGCAAAGAGAGAAGATTATTGTCTGAACCAGAAGAGTTGAGCTGCATTATTCCTTTGGATTCCAATAAGCCAAAGTAAACTTAACGGTGGAGCTGTAAGATGGATGTGGACAGGGAGGCTGTACATCATTTATAATTATGTGCTGTACGTATAACAAGCAGGCCGCGCTTACTTTTCTTCTTCTTCTTGGCAGGCCGTCCGCGCTTGTTCTTCTTCACTCGGCCAGAGCTGTCAGAGCGAACCGAGGAGCTGTGAACGCTGGAGTCCTCCTGCTCAGACTCGTCCTCATCCATATCCTCGCTCTAGCAGAGCACGAGAAAGCACGGGGGCAGTGAGTGAAGGGAGGAGAGACAGGTAACAAGAAACAGAGGAAAACAACAGGGAGCGACGCTGTTTTTAACTTCCACCGATTCAGTGTTTCACGAATACTCTAAACTTCACACTCACCGAGCAGCTCTTCTTCCTCTTGGCACTGATAGGTGATAATTTAATACGGATGGGTGCCATCTTTTTAGCTTTGGCTACGGCTGAAGCCTTTTTCTTGTCTGGAACTCGAGGACTTTTACTGCGCTTCTTGTAACCCGGACCTGGACAGACAGCATAACAAAGAAGCTGTATCAGTGAGCTGTATCAGAAAAGGGATAGAGGTAAATGAGAGGTTAGCATTAGTTTACTGCTCTCCATTAGCATGTACAACACATGTGCTTTTTTAAGCATGATGATCAACAACTCAGTGTTAAGTAGTTTAAACAAACAAATAAAACCATTTCTCTGAAAGTGATCAGGAACTAGGATTGAAGTAAAAATTAGTTTCCAAAGAAAGATTTTGAAATACTTTCAGAAAGTACATTTACATAAAAGTCTGGCTCCTTGGAAACAAAATCTAAAGAAATGAGGGGTGGCTCAACATTTTTGCGCAGTTCTGTAAACCTAACATCGGTCAACATCTGCTGTGTTCATCGTGTGCCTCTAAAACATCTCGTTGCCCTGGTCCTAGTACAGGAATGGGAAGACGACAGACCTTTGCCCTCTTTTGTCTTGGCTTTTCTAACAGGTGGAGGCTGAGGTGGCGGTTCAGGTGAGGCGGTCGCTGCAGAGACCTGCTCGGCAACAGCGATGGCAGCGGCGG